TCTATCATTTAAGTGACCTGAAATGCATATGAAAGCCAGGCACAAAATCTGCTTCTCTTCAACACCTATTCATCAAAAATGCATTTTCTCTAAAGGACTGTTTAAAGGCCAAATGGTAGGTCAAATGCCCCTCGTTATTAGGCAAGTTTAAAGATCATTACTTAATTAGCATTTTTTGGCTATACTCTCTGCTTTTGATTGCGTGTGTGCAAGACAGGCAAGAAAATGTTGCATAGGAAATTCCAATCTGACAGCATGACCTTGAGCACTAACTAACCTGGATTTGCATACCTGGCTGTCTTTACTTATAGTCTTATCTTACAGAAATCACCTCCTCTGACACTCCTGCTTATCTGTCTCACCAAGAGGTGCAGAAGACTAATTAGCCACTAGCTATAACATTTTAGAATACCCAAGAGGGAAGATGCACAATGCAGCAATCTCTGTGGTTAAATATTGCTGCCTCTCAGTTTTCCAATAACTAAATGATTTTCACCATATCATCACTAATGAGCTGCAGAATGGAAATGAGTTTCAAATGTTAGGTAACTCACATTACTGTCATGAGCAATTAAAGTAGAGTAAAATGCTAATTATAGCTGCAGTGCTTAGAATGTATCTACCTTGTGAAAGAATCTCGCAAATATAACCTTATCATTAATGTTTTATTTATGCATGTAACATCATCTGGTGTTGAATTTTCTGGTGGATAAATTGAGCTGTTGGGATGAACAATCAATGTAAGATGCAGGAAGAAGTCAGTATTTTACAGGCAGACACTCAACAAGGCATTCTTATCATTGGCTTGGATCACATAGATGAAGCTGATTGAAGTTGAACTGGGTGAAGCCCAAAGGAGGGGTAAATATAGCCCCAGTGCTGCCTATAGCTGAGCTTTGTCAGGGGGAAATAAAAGCAGCATTTAAACTGAGTTGTGAAACTTCTGAAGGTCATTCAGTACTTCCAAGGTCACTCAACCCAGAAAACAAGTAGGTGATCATATCTGCCCCGGAAAGTAATCTCTCTTTATGTGGGTGGGAAGTCAGTGATTTTAGCTTCATTATTAACTGGGGGGAGAAAACATACAGCATCTCTTTGCTGAAGAGAAAGCTCCTAAGTGGCCCTTTTCAGGCTCCATCTTTTATCATCTGTGGGGACAACATGTGGTCCAAATTAATGCCGGTCTCTATCGTGTCCTGTGGAGGTCTGCAGGTAGGTGCAGCATGGTTAGTGTCCTGTCAAGCTACACACGTGACTTCTTTGGGAGGGAAAGAGGAGAAGCAGATTCTCATAGTTTAGACTAAGGAAAGCAATCATGGGATTGTTTGTCACCTTTGAAAAGGACATTTTCAGTGTAGGGAAACAGCTGTCCAGGTGTGTTGATTCTTTCTCTCATTTTAGTTTCTTGATTCTTGAAAATGTTAGGTTAAACCTGAGCCGTCCTCTTAAGGAAATTAATATTTACACAAAGAAAGGTGATATTGCAGTTTATGGCCTTCAGCTGAAAATTTGCATCCAGCTGAGCAAGATGATGTATTTGTCACACAGAATTGGTGCCCAGCCTTTTTGCTTTCATAATATCTCTTTGACTTTGCCATTAAATGTTCATTCATGAGTTATATGGGGTATTAAGCTCTTGGGTGGTGAAACAGGCTCTACTCATTCTTGAATGATCTCAAATGCTCAAGTGTTCCAAAGGGTAACCCCTAATAGGTTGCTGACTAAAGAATGGTCTTGGAGCCAGGATGAGATTCCTGCTCTCATTGCTGGCTAAGGCCTTGAACTGCAGGACGCCCCTTTAAAGTTCCTAAGGATCTGTGACTTCTTGAAAAGAGATGAAGAAGTGTTTGTTTCTTTATCCCTGCATGATGTAGCAGTACTTAATTCCATTTAAAATACTGTACAAATATAATGCATTGTGCTCTGGTTTCTCTGAAGGATATTGACATGTGAGACTGTTTATACATATTAATTGTGTATTTATGGATATGTATATATGCATGTGTGGAGAAAGCTTTTAGTAATACAACACAAGGAGACTTGGATATTTTATGATAGTGCCCCTCATGTGGCTTGTTAATTTTTTGATTTAGTTGAGTTCCTACTATATGCTTGGGATTGCTCAAGGTGCTAAAGATGAAGTAAATATGTAAGACAATATCTTTGTCCTTGTGGTGTTTACATTCTTTGAGTAAGTGAGGTTGGCAAGAGAAATACAGCAAACACACAGAAAAGGTAGATTATGACAGTGCATGTGCTCTGGTGAGACCAGAACAAGCCGGGCACCTGAGCGAGTAGTGTTGAGGAGCCAGAAACAGAGTGTACCATCACATGAGCATCTGGGAAAGCTGCTCTAGGCAGCAGGCGTGAAGAATCAGAAGTAGGAAACAGCACGGAGCATTCTAAAGGCAGAAAAATGGTCAGTGGTTGGGGTCTGAGGAGGTGCAGGGAACAATACAACAACTGGGGAGAACGCAAACCAGTGCAGGGGATGGAGCAGTCTGTGATAAGGGATTAGACATTCACCCTAACTATAAGAAGCCAATAGCTGGTTTTAAGCATATTTTATTTACTGCTACATATGAAAAAATAAACAGTATCTCTTCAAAAATCACAGATTTCTTTAAAGATAAATCAATTGTACATCTAGGAAAGATGCTTAAACCCTTAGGGGGCGCCAAAGGAAAGCGTTTAAAGGAATTTTCAGCACCTCAAGTGAAAGGAGAGCGCTCTAGTTGTTCCTTTAGTCTCGTTAAAGGTGATCAACTCAGACAACCAACGTTTATGACAACCATTCCCAAAAAGAAATTTGAATGAGCATGGTTTACATGCACCACAACCTTGGTTTTGACAGTGGAGACTGTTTGTGATAGGGTGGGAAGACTTTGGGAGTTATTTTTAAACTCCCATCTGGTAGTATTTGAGTAGAGTATAAAACAAATATGGAACCAAAATTTACTTTGTGGATTCACTTGGCAAGAAAAAAAATATCTCTATACTTAGAAAATATTCATAATTTGACACTTAGGATGTGTTATTCTAAATAGTACTCCCAGCTTACTTGACGAAGTCTCTTAGTAACATCTACCAAGAAAGACTACTGCGTGAGAAGCAGTGAGTTATAATAAATGAAATTTTCTGCATGTAGTCATATAGCTACGGTGTGTCATGAAAACAACTCATACTGATTAGAGTTTTTTTTTAAAGAGAAGAAAGAAGAAGATGAGGTGGGGGAAGAGAAAGAGATACAACAGAAAGAAAAAATAATGTTGATCTCTACACATATAATAAAGAAAATGCAAAAAGAATGGGAGAAGGAAGACTGGGGTGTAGCTCAGTGGTCAAGGGCTTGACTAGCATTTTTGATACTTTGAGTTCCATTCCAGTGTCACTATTTTCAGCAAAAGTAAGTTTGGCAGAAAGTAGATCATTTGTATGTAGTGGTAGATCAGATCTGCGCACATACGGGAATGAAAAAGAGTTAATAAATTGTAGGATGCTACAAAATCCCACACAAATAGCTCCACCAATTGAAACTTTATTATGACAAGGTTTATGATGATTTTGAGAAAGCATATGTTCTTATCTTTAATAAGGCGAAGTACATCTGGCCAGCCCGTATGGAGACTGTTACCTCCCTACTTCATTCCTGATAATGACAGCCATGTACTTCACATACTCTTTGCTTTACCCAGAAACACTTTATAAAGAGCTCTCAAAGCAGTTGGTCAAATAAGTAACCTGAGCAAGGGAGCATAGAGATTAGAAAAGACAGTTGGCCTCAAATCCAGAGAAAGTCCAGACATAGGTGTTAGGTAAAGCAGTATTGTGGTGACGCTCTAAATATCAGCAGTAATTTTCAGTGGTGTTACACCTGTTTACACTAAGAACCATGTATTCATACATGGCTGTGCCTGTATTCACACTGGACTACCAGGCAGGAGGGTTTTAAGCTTCTCATGCAGTAGAAGTGACCAAGAGGCTAAGGACTGGGCAGGTACATGCCAAGTGTCCTCCTGCCCAAGCAACCCACAAAAACTTCTCATTTGAGCACCTTCAGTTGACGTGTGTCTATCTTTATCCCAGAAGCCTATCAATTTACTGCCTTGATACCTCCTAGACTCTTTGTAAAGAAAGTTCTAGGTTGTTAATTATCAATTAGTTTTAGTGAATTTAAAGAATAGAGTCTTTACCTGCTTTCTCATCCACAGATAGCATGAACTTGTTCACACAAACACATTCATTTAATAAGATAGAAGAATAAAAAGGGGAGAAAGGAAGAAAGAGAACTAAAGAATGAGATTCTACCTATTTCAATTCACATACACAAAGTATTCCTTTTCACTAATGAAAACCTGCATTATTGCCAAAACCCAGCTATCTTTCTAATCCCAAGTTTGATTTATTCAAAGCATAAATAAAAGGTTGACTCTTCTAAGAGAAGATACCACAGTCAGTCAACAGGCAATGAGAATCTCTCAAAACCTGTATGGTAGGACTGTTTGGATGACTGATGATGAACAGTTGTAGGTAACCCCACACTGGTAATTGGTTGCTCTAGAACTGAGGATTTGTGGCCTGAAGATATACCAATATTCAACTCTGAATCCCAGAGCCCTTCATGACACCATGCTATGACTCTCATGAGTTAATCTTTGAATGAATGGGTCATTCTGAATCTGGACATTTCTCCCCCTTTTGTCTCCTTTGTCTGAGACTTCAGACTGTGTGTAACAGAAGAAAGCCTTTGTTAGGTGATGTCAGAGACTTACTCACAGAATCAGGCTGGAAGGGCAGAGTTAGTAGAAACTTTTAGAGGTCATTTAGCACTGCTTGCTCTAAGGAGATACCAGGCCACAAACACGCTCCTTAAATGTGAGAGGCAACTTGCATGCTGGAGGAGGGTCTCACCAAGGGCCATGCAACCCTACCTGTCTGGAGGCTGTTTGTAAATAACCCTTTGGGAGTCCAGAGGGGAAGGCAAGGCAGGCAGGAGTTACCTGGTTGATGGAAATGATTGCCAGACGGGGGATGACCACCTGAAGGACCACCTGGAGCAGTGAAGTGCCCAGGCCGGCCAGGATGGCCCATGTGAGTGGCAGCGGGAGCATGCTGTAGGTGGCAAAGAGCGTGAAGAGCACATAGCCGATGCCATCGCCCAGAAGCCCATAGCCGAGGCCTGCTGCCAGGATCTGGGTGGTCATGGCTACCCAGGTGACCACACCACTGTACTGCAGGTATGTGTGCGAGGTGGTATCCTTCCTGACCACCACCAGGGCGCAGATGACCACCTCGATACCAGTGAAGAAGCCCAGAAGGATGCCCTTGAGTGGGTCCATGGGGGCCGAGGCCAGGCTCAAATGAAGGACCAAGAGAGTGAGTTTCGTCAGCACATCCAGCACATTCATCACCACCTCGGATTTGCGCCTCTGGCTCAAGAAATAGCGCTGGTAGAGGTGTTCCAGATCCCTAGACTTAAAGGAGTTACGCAGGGTGGGGAAAATGACTCCTCGGTAGCTGTAGCCCCCATTAAGGAAGAAATCCGAGTTGCTTGGGGCACAGTCAAGGTGTAGGAAGCCCAGGTCGCCCCCACCTCCGCTGCCACTAGCACTGCCGCTCCCGCTGCGTTCCGGGAAGACTTTAGTGCCACCAGTGCTGTGCGCTCGCTCCCTGGGGCCCAGAGAATAGAGCGGCAGCTCGAAGTCGCTCGACAGCTGCGGTGTGTGGTGGTTGGGACCTCCGCCCGCGGGGTTCGAGGCTTTGCGGGAGCCTCCGCTCCCGCCGCCGCCGCCCCGGTGCCCGTGAATGAAGCGCTGCTCCGTGATGTGCCGCACCGCTGTCTGCCACAGCAGTCGCTGGGGCCGGGAGCCGCTCCCTCCGTCGCTGGCCGGGGGCGTGGGGTGGATGGTGTAGAGTTCCTCGCTGCCGCTAAGGCAGCGCACATCGGAGAGCTCCATGGCGCCGGGCCGCGGGGACGGAGGCGCAGAGCCGGGGTTGGAAGATCCGGAGGCGGCCTGGTAGAAGCTTGACCACGATCCCTCTGTCTTAGGCTACCCGACTGCAGGAGACCTGGGCAACGGACCTGTAGGTCAGGTCATAGTGCGCTCTGGGGCAAAGGACTCCAGGAAGATCGCAGTGGATCCTTGCGTCCTTGTGAGCCACCCTCCCGCCTCCGGTGCGGCTTGGGTACGCAGCGGCGGCGGTGGCTATCTGTCCGCAGAATCCGCGGCTCTCTGCGCCTCGCAGCCCCCTTCCGGGACTCAGTCTCCTTGCCGGGTTCTGTGCTCAGCGTCTTGGCGCAGCCTGTGCTCTCCGAGAGGTGTCCGGACGCCTGGGCGCCTTGTCTTTGCTGCTTGTCTGGCGGGTCCTGGCTGCCGCACTGGGTTCCGGACCTCCAGGGCTCGGCGGCCGGGGGTGGCCGGAGGCGGCGTTGGGTGCGAAGTTAGCAGCTGTGGCTGGTGTCATCGCCCTTCACAGAACTCCATTGCGCCGGATGGGGACCTGGGGCGGAGCTGGGGGCGGATCAGAGAGGAGGAGGCGTGGGGGACTGCGAGGTAGCCGGACGCCCCGCGGGAGGGTGGGAGAGTTCCTAGCCGCAGCGCTAGCAAGTCACCAAACAGTTAATTTGGAGGAAGAGGTGTGCTGAAGCTCCCTCCTAGGGTCGTTCTCTGCTGTCGCCAGTTCCAGAGGGAGGACTAACAGCACAGAGCTGGCGAAGAAACATCCCTGGCGGAGGAAGGAGGAGGGGCGCTAGCTTCAGGGTCCCAGCCTCGGCTGTGAGAAGCCGACCCTTCCAGCCGTGCATCGGAGAGATCACCGAGCACAGTTCCCATCCCTTTCATTTCGCTCTTTGGGGACCATTGGGCCTGGAGCTAGGAGCAGGAGACGGGGAAAAGAGAAAGTGGGGAGGGGTCCAAAGCCAACAGCTCCGAGTCCGAATTGGACTGGTGCCTATTCCTGAGGCAGAGAACCGACCCTTGGCGAGTGCAGCCCTCTTTACGTTTGGGAGAGAAGAAAGGCCCCAGGCCTCCTGGAAGTAGACCGGACGCCTCTGGACTCAAGGAAGAGTAGCGTGCAAACCCTGCGCTCAGGAGCCCGCTGGGGGATCTGGAGGCTGAGGAATTTGGAGACGAGTCAGAGCAGTCCTACACTCCCGGGGACTTAAACCCGCCCCCGCGCCAAGCCACGCCCCGGAACACAGGATGGGGTGGTGGCGTTGACTGTGACCCCGCCCCAGATCTGTCCAGGGCACTCCAGCTCTTGGGGGCAGCAGGAGGTTCCGGCTGGCTCGGGCAGCAGGTGCCTTCGGCCCTGGCTCCGCGCCCCTTTCCCGCGCTCCGGATAGAAGGGCCCGCAGGGTCCTCCGCTGTTCCTTTTTAAGCGCCCCCTCTTGTCCTTCGCAAGTGCGGAGCCAGGACTTGCAGGCCGCTTTGACCACAGACTCGTAGACCTCAGAGGGCCAGTAAAGAGTCTGTTTTCTTCCCTCTCCACCAGGAATTCTTTTGGCAAAGTCAACTTTCTGTTCCTCCTCCTCCTCTCATCAAACTGCAGTTCGAGAGGCAGCAGGTTCCCGTGGGAATCTCTTTATTCCACCACCCAAAGAGGTAGAGAGTGCAGGACATTAAAATGGGGGTGCTACATGCACGCCTCGCACACTAAATTTCTTCCTGCTTACAGTATGAGTGGAGGAAGACGATGTGGGGAAAGGCATTTCCAGGGACCGGCGTGGAGCTCAGGTTTCCCGCTCTCTCACTGCATCGAGCAGTCTCCGACACAGCCCAGGGAGGCACTCGCGGTGGACCAACGTGCAGACCTGCGCACCAGCGCCAACGCCAGGCGGAGGGAGGTCCCTGGGCGCTGGATCTGCTGGGCGAATGCAGCTGCCGCAGCCCCGAGCCCCGTGGGCAGCAGATGCTGGAGTCCCGGTGGCCACCACCTCGGCCACCGCGACTGCTGCGACTGCAGCCGGTGGGGGCTCGGGCCTTGAACATAGTCAGCTGATGGTCAATGACGTCAGGCCCCGCCGTCCTTTCCTGCTCCCTGTGGCGTCCCAAGAAAGCTCAAAAGACCGCTTCACCGGCTGCTCCTTCAGCCACCACCCCCATCCCTGACGAGCTATTTCCTCTGCTTTAGGGAAGAGAAACTCCTTGATTCTGTCTGTCCTGAGCAAGAATAACCTTCCGCAGACTCGTTCTTCCAGGCCTCTCACTCTATCCCCAGGCTTATTGGTGGAGGCAGTGTCCCAGAAATACAAGTTTAATTTTTTCATATAAGGGTTACCTGTCTTGCACGGACAATCCCTAGAGAGTACTCTAGTATTACCCATTACACCCCCCCCCCATCTCTAACAAGCAGATCTCTGGAATTTGATACACACTTTGCAAAGAGTTTAAAAAAAAAACAATTCCAGCCTATTAGAGTTGTACTCTCTCATCGTCTCTCAATCAAGAAAACAAAACGAAACTCCCAATTTTAAAACAGAAAGAAGGATGATTGTATTTTTAATCCTGTTCATTGATAATTAATCCCCTGAGACTAGATGTAGAGGGCAGGGTACCTTAAAAAATGTCTAGTAGTTTTGTAGGCCTTAATAGAATAACTTCAGTAATCACTTTAAAAGCAAGGCTCCTTGGGTCTCCCTTTCTGAGTTCTGTGGTGGACTCATCCAAGACTGGACATAGTTGGAAACCATATTTTCGTAGGCCTGGAGGTTGTGTGGGTAATTCCCTCTCTTCTGGCACTGCTCAAAGTCATATTAGCATGGTTAGCCCTTAAAGAGGCCTCTCTCCTTTCTCAGTTCTCTTTGGGGGAACCTTAGGATTCAGGCTGAATAAATGAGCAGTCAGTGCAGATAGAGCTCTCCTAGCAAAGTCTTCCTCCATTCTGGAAGTTTCCCAGGATGATTTATTCAGCAGCAAAAGGAGGCAGGACAAGCAGGGGGAAGGTTGGACTCGATTAGATGAAATGATTCAGGCTGAAAAATGAGTGCAGCAGGCTGCAGAACAAAACTCTTAAGAATTCCATGAATTCAGAGATTGGAGCTAAGGTAACTGGGAACACCAGATTCACTCAGTCACCTTAGTGTTCCTTTTGCTGCAAGAGAGTTACTACATGAAAAGAATGAGAATGGGCAGATGAGATTTGAACATTATTTTGTTGTTGGGATGTCATGGTGCCATCAGCCTACTGCCACATTGTGGTTTTGAATGACAGTCTTGATTCAGCACAAATGTTTTTCCACATGGAATATGCAAATCACCAAATGATTTCCTATGATTTCAAACAGAAGAAGTCAATCCACGGTGTAGAGGCCAAGATAGAAGTCTGACCGTGCTGCCTTTCATTCCTGGTGTATTTATTACAGCAAGGTTTCTACTGTGAAACCTTTCTACCAGAAACTACAGTTCATCAGCATGGTATCTTTTTGAACATAATCTCCTCCTCTTGGGTTGTCCTCCCTTTCTTCCTCTGAAATATTACTCACCTCATCCTTCAAAGCCCAAGTCATGTTGCCTCTATAAAGCCTTCAGTGACATCTCAAGTAAAAGCTAATGATTTACTTCAGTGTCCACAATCATCTGCTCTGGGAACTTTAGTGTAGTCCCTACTGCAAGGACTGGCCATGTCCCACTTGCTTATGTGTTTATCACTCTCCCAACAAAACAGTGAGCTCCTGGGATGGTAGGAGTGGTTTTCTTATAGTCGTATCCCTTGGCTTCTAACAATTGCAATAGAGGTAATAATAGTACGGTAGGCAAAAATCTTTCCAGTGCCTATGAGATGCCAGATCTCCATTAGCTTCTTTTTTTATAAGCATCTTGTCCTTGTTAGTCATCTTAGAATTTGTATCATTTAGGTCTTTCTGTGTTCTTATTATTCTTAGTTTGCTGACCAGGATACCAAATACTGAGATGTCATGTGGCTATGTACTTTATGCGTTATGGATAATAGGTAGCAAAATGCCATCAATTAAATTTAGATTTTTTAAAATCTAGTATCACATGCTTAATATAAATGTTATAATAAACAGTATGAGTAATTGTAGTAGAACTGATAGAAATGAAAATGTCAAATGTATTTTGTTCTTCCAAAGGCAGGTTAAATAGAATCTTCTCATAGTTTCTGACTTTGAGAAATCTACTGGGGTGAGACTGAATGGCAGGTGAATGTAACATAACTTATTATGAATTGGATAGAGATTTTATTAATTTAGGTTCAGTTTAAAGCACAGATACTGTTTTTGTAATTCTTGAATAAACAGAATTTCATGTATTGTATTTAATAAAAAAATTCCCTTGGTAAACTTAATTTAATTTGGGTGGTTGTGGTATGGGAAAATCATTTTGTTGCCTCAATGCAAATAACAATTTTGTTTAGTGAAATTCCTGTATGTACATTGGACATGTTTGTGTTACTATGTTTAAGAAAAGGAAGTTAGGTTACTTCCAAAACATTTTGGCTTCCTAGATTGGTTTTTATTGACAAAGAAATTTAAATTTTATGAGTCCTTTGTAAAATGCGTGCAGAACCTTGACGTTTACTAAAGACATAAAATATTGACATGTAAAAGAAAACATAAACTGAGTTCAGGAAAGGACTTGAAGCCAGAGAGATCCTGTTTCCAAAGGGAAGGAGGGTGTTTGTGACCAGGCAGCTTCCACATTTATCAATCCTTGAAGGAAAATACCATGCCGGCCATGTCCAGACACTGAGCATCAGGAATACCTGGGGCACTGTCTATGGGGCAGAACTTCAGGAAAAGTCAATGTTTAGCTTAAGTGGGGTTCATTATTAAGAAGGTCTTTGGAAGTTATTTGTAGCAAAATAGATGGATCTTGAGACTATAAAACTAAATGAAATCAATCAGACAGAGAAGGTTAAATGTCACATGGTTTCTCCCATATAAGAGATCCAAAATATAAGTAATTTACAGAGCAATGTAAAAGCAAAATGGTAAGAGACAGGGAAGTAAGCTCTCCAGTGATCTGGGCAAGGAGGGCCAAGGGACCACAAAGGACGTACAAATGATGAAATGCAATAGGTATGTATACCAGTTCTCCAAGGTGAATGTACTTACTGGGAATTGCAAACATATTCTACCAAAAAGAAAATAAAAACTTCACGGTCACCTTTCATCTGGAAGGCAATAGCATGCAAAGAGAAAAACTAAAAATCTATTTTATTCTAATATTTGTTCTGCTTTCAAAATTGCAGAAGACATTTTTGTAGTTGTGTTGAACCCTTGCGTGAACTAGTTTCTGGTGCCTAGTAGAAATGCATCTCTTCAATGAGAGAACATTTCTGAGATAAGAAAGGCAGAACTCATGAGGCAGTCAGGTGAATCTGAAGCACAACCCTCCAGGGAAGGTAGATTTATGTACTTTCTTTTTCTTAAGAAATTATTTTCTTATTTATGGTTTAACTATAGGATAGGCTGGGTCACTGTGATATAACTAAAGCTTTTGCTTGCTGAGGTTCTAAAATAACAAGAACACACACATACTGGAAAATGATTAAGAAACTAGCTAAAAGATTGAGTAATAGAAGGTGAGAAAGCATGAGTTCATCCATTTTACTAAATCTCTTCTACATGGCCTAAAATCTTTTTAATTTGGCATGCTGAGGGAGTCTTGGCGCAAAAGTGCACACTCCATGGGAAATAAAAATATTCTCTTTAAAATATACATCTAGTTATTATTTTATTTGTTTATTTATTTATTTCCATAATTTTATTGAGAAACAAATAGCAATGAGACAGTTTCAAATCAAATTGGTAAGACAGTTTCAATAAATAACACCTTGCATACATTCTTCCTAGTGGTTAATTGCTGCACAAGATGCGGACATGATATCCTGTTGACAAACACCATTAGAACAATCCCTCTATTCATTAAGAGAATGTAACTATATATCTATCCTAACCACTTTGAATACGCAGATACAAAATGGACATTCATCTGTATCCCCCTTTTTTGTTAAGTTCTGTTATTTGAATATTATAGGTGTGTAAACTCAGCAAAATATTCTAAAAGAGTCCATAATAGTATTGGGTCTTCTGCTTGACTGGCAATGTCAGAAATTGTTGACCTGAGTCCCCTACAGCTCA